AGAATATTGCCAGACATTAGCCAAAGTTCAGAGAACGTTCCCTGTTAGCTGGTATAAGCAGCAGAATTAGTATTAGCATGTGACGTTATTGCAGTCATAAGCTTTCTGAATCAAATGTCATTGAATGCTTCATTGTTACACTCATACTTTCAGACACGTCACTAACCCAAAAAGAGTTACGCGGCCCTTGGAAGAGGCAGTCATGGTCCCATCATCATCAATGGTGTATTCGGCAGAGATGTTGTCCTGGAGGAAGAGTCCCTCCGGGTCTTTCTTCTGCTGGGCGTACCATTTGCCTGCATACTACAAGATACAATACACCAGGTCAGGTCAACCTATCTGTTTTACATTAAGATTACAAATGAGCCAACTTTTATCCCCTCTGAAATCATCAAACTGCATTCTACATACTCTCTTGGGGTCAAAGTTGTCCTTGACTGTAAAACTGTCCACAACGCAGGAGGAAGACCAGCAGCGCTCAATGTAGGACAGGAAAACCACTAGCAAGGCAAACTTGTAGTATTCCATTCTGAGCAATGGAGAAGGAAATCACAGGTGCTAATCAGCTCATTTTTCATTACAGTTTGGACTGCAGTTTTGTTAATCTCATAGCCCAGAGGGCCTACAGAAAAACACTAGATCTTACCTGCTTGTTTTGTTGTTGTTTGGACTGAACGAAAGGAAGGAATCAGTGGTGTTGGGTCCCTCTTTGTGGTTCTCCACAAGGCTGTGTTGTCTACACTGAGCAAAGGTCCTTTTATACCAACTCTACAGACAGGCTTATTGATTATTTTCACTTCTTGTGACTAAATAAGGTTCTTAAATCTACGGTTAATCCGGTTGTAGAAATCCTCACTGTAATCTGGCTTCTCGGTTGAACCCTCCCATGCTTGCCATAAAAACAATTAAAGCTTTATGCAACTGTAGTGAATGTAGTGAGACATTGTTTAAAGCAAAAACATCTGGGAGTAGGGGTCAAGGAAATTGAAAAATAAAATCATTCTAAGCATTATTTGTGAAATTGTTTTTAACACCTATTGCATTATGTTATGTTATTAGGTGTCTGGTAAATTTTTTGGGAATGGTTTTGGAATAGTTTTCCTCTAAATATTGGAACTCATAATAAAGTTGCATAAATATTCTCTCAACAAACTAGGTATTTACTTGTCCGTTTCATCCCTTATTATTACATGAAGCTAGAATGTTGCTGAGTAAGGATGGCTCTTCAGTTTGTGTTATTTTGTTAAAGACTAATCTTTATTTTTGCATATCCAAGTTTAAATCTAGATCCTTTATATCCTGTACGTTGATGTTAATTATGTTAAAATATCAGCTACTATAAGAGAAACAAAGTTAGATACACAGGATTAAAAATTAGTTAAAATAATTGGGATAAAAATAATTTTGTCACTTAATTATAACTACACTCCAGTAATTTCTGCAGATGTATTTCCAAAGATGAACAAGCTTTAGCTAATGCTAAATGTACTAATTGTCCAATAATCTGAAAACAAAAAGACGAGTCACATTGCCATGTTGGAATGATTGTGATTGTTGATTTCAGTGGGGATGGTGTTCCAGTGTTATCTTGATGACAATAGGCTCCTAGAGGCTTTGTGTTGTTTTGTTGAGATGGACGTGATTACGGAAGCAGCTTTATTCATTATGAGAATCTATTATGTAATACTGTACTTGGCTCTTTCGATTTGTGTGGTGTGATCACATCAATTTCACATTCATCAGGTTTTAAGAGGAGCCTTGTTTATAACAGCACAGTATTGGTGTGCTAAGGAAAGCAGGAACAGTAATTACGCTAACAAAATCTAGATAATATAATATTTCTTTACCTTATGTCTATGATGTCATTATATAAAAGCAATGCATAAAATTGCATTATCTATTCCGTTCCAAATTTATTCATTATGATGTTGTACAGGCTCCTAGTCTTCCTCATTATTCAACTCCATTATAAAATTCTAGAACTTATATTGTGAAAATATTTTTTTCAAATAAAGATTTTATTATTAATAATAGTAATTTTCTTTAAAACAAAGTAATCAGTAGGATTTATTTATTTAAAAAATAATATATATGTAATTCTGTCAGTATCAGATATGTTTTTTTAGTAGCTCTTTTAGGTTTAGGTTAATAACCTGAGGTTAATTAGCATTATCACAGTTTTGTTTGGAAATTTAATTCAGGAATCACTGTTAACTGTTTAGGTCTTTGTTTTTAGGATACTTAGCCAGACGTTTGATATTGAAGAAGACGTTTATTGTACATGATTGATGTTCATTCGTATCTATTTTGAAATGACTTGTTCTAGACTGTCCTCATAAGACTTTTCTGAGCTGTTCTTGGGATTACTTCCCATGCATATCTGCGTAACATAAGTGGCCAACATTTGTCGAATTAGCAGTATTAGGATTGGTTGGCCGCAGGTAATGTCACGTTACAGCCCTGAGAGCTCTTGGCTCAGATTCTATTGTGACCTCAAGGAACTTTGCTCTCAGGTGGGGTGATTCAGCATCATATGTATCCATTCAGTTGCCAGTAGGCTTGACAATTTCCATTACATAATGCATAATTAGTTCCTGTCTTGAGTAACTCTTATAGTGGCAGTGTTGTCATAGTTCGAATCCCAATCCATTTATTTAGAGATGAGATATGTCTAAAGATGAGATATGGCTAACCTGGCTGACCTCTTGGCACTCCAGACAGCATTCAATAGTATATATTTGTGGGTGTGCTCCACAGAGATTAGTACACTTCTTTTTAAAGACCTTCATTTCTTTTTTTGGCCTGTCAGATATATATATATATATATATATATATATACACAGTGGGTACGGAA